GGTCGCGAAAGTTTTGGGTGATTTTTCGCACTAATTTCTCAATAGCGTGATTTCGAATAAATGTTTGAAACCAGCGGGAGTGGTCTCCCCTAAACTTTCTCGTATACTTCTCAGAAAAGGTGCTGTTTCCCCTTCCTCCGCGTGAATAAAAAAATTCGAGCCTATTGTAACCCAGGATCCAATGACTATCAGAAAATATTTAGGTAAAAAATCAAATTCGAAGAGATGCGTTCCGATTAAATGCATACCGATTTCTACTCTTTCTGGGCTCAAGGACAATCCTTCCGCCTGCACAGATTGCTACCAAGTACGCATGCGCATGGAGAATGGGATGAAAAAAAAGCGCCAAGCAGGAGTCAATAAATATCGTGCACAGAAGATTGCGTTTAGTGCGCATGCGCGTGGAGAGAGCGGACTCGTTGGAGATGCGCTTATACAGACCGACAGACAGTCAACCTTTTGACGGATTTGGCCCAAAATTTTATACGGACCTACATTCATGACGATAAAACTGTGTACCAAATTTTATCCATCTAGCTATTCAAGTTTTTGAGTTATAGTGTTCGCATGACTTCGGACATACAGACAGACAGACTTCCCTTTGACGGATTTTGTCCAAAATTTGACAGAAACCTACAAATTATGTGTAATGACCACATACCAAATTTCATCCCTTTATCTCTAATAGTTTCCGAGTTATCGTGTTCAAAGACACACACACAGACATACAGACACACAGACAGACATAATTCCAAAATTGTGTTTTTCGGACTCAGGGAGGTCTAAAACGTGGAGATTCGTCAAAATCTTGAGTTCGAATTTTTTGACGATTACAATACTTTCTCTTTGTATACTTCGTATACGAGAAAGTAAAAAATAGATACACCATCGGAAAGAGCAAACGATTTCCGTTCCAATGAATTTAGTTTTAAATTTCTAACGTAATTTAGAGAATTTTGAGATTTTTTTAAAAAAAATAGTCGGTTAACTCTAAAAAACTTTGTATGAAATTTTAGTTTCTTGCATCCGCCGTTCTAATTTGTTATCAATATGAAATTTGTTGAAGTAATAAATATAACGTTTCTCCGTGATTTAAAGCAAGAACGGTTAAAATTGAACTGTTGGTTGAATTTTAATTAATTTTTTTCTGACGGCTTAAAGAATTTTCGTTTCAAAATTACGTTCATGATTTTTCGTAATCAAGGTCGCGTGACGTATTTCCCAACATTCATTTCGTCAAAACCACGTGACGTCATAATCCCTTTGCTTCGCGTCGACTGGTCATTCTTTTAATTTGTTTGTTTTTATACTTTTTGATAGTCAAGCATATGGCTCATATCTTTAGTTACAGAAAACTGAAAAAATGAAATATGACTTCAAGGAACTATTTAGATAATGAGGCTTCAACGTTTAAACCTGAAGAAGGAAGATTAAGATACTTTAAAAGATTTCATCTCTCTCTCTCTCTTTTTCCCTCTTCTCTGATTCATTTTGGATATATTTAAATACCACAGAAATTATGTTTGTCTCTATCTTTCGAGGTATATTGTTCCATTTGAAATCGTTTAAAATTTCATTCGGTTTTCAATCTTTAACATTTTACCTGGTTTATAGGAATCAATCTTTTAAATCCTAAATTTTTTTCTCGGAAATATCGGTTTATTTGGTACTCTGTACTGTTTTCCTACAGTTCAAATGTCATTATCGCGAAGGAAAATAAGAGGGCAAATCAATAGTTTGTACCTTTTGTTTTGATTTTGTTTTCAAAACTTTTTCGTGACATTGTGGGCGATTTTTTTTTTTTTTTTTGAATTCCTGATTCCAGGGCAAAGTCGTGCTGGTTAGTAATAAATTCAAAAATCTAATATTTATTTTGAAATATTTACATTCATTATTCACAATCTTGCCACTTTGTTGCACGCGTTCATATAGAGGAAAAGCATTATTACAATATGTTGTTTAAACTAATTTTGAAGATGTGTTAAAATTAATAAAAAAATAATAGTCCTAAATATATAATTTATATGACTGAAAAGCTAATTTTTTGAATTTTAAAGTGGTGCAAAAATGGTTTTGGGTCATTAATATGCACTGGAATATTTAGTAAAAAAACGACACATTGCAATTCAATTCTAATTACTTAAAAATCTGAATAACATTTTGGAAATCTCTTTCTAAGTGAGTACCTACTGGTATACATACCTATATACATATTTGGTAGCTATAGGTCAGAAGGTCTGCCCTGTACATAAGGTGGCCAACTTTAGCTCCAACAAAGGAGGACACAAGTAAATTGAAGCTAAACCAGCGCTAGTGGTCTCCCCTAAACTTTCTCGTATACTTTCTAAGTGGAGATTCGTCAAAATCTCGAGTTCGAATTTTTTTGACGTTTACAATACTTTCTCTTTGTATATTTCGTATACGAGAAAGTGAAACAAACAAACAAACAAACCTGAAATCAAATATCTGTTGCCACGTTTAAAAAAAAAATATTACTTTGAAGCAGGTGCGATAAAATAGGTAATGCAATGAATACTAAAGCAAAAATTCTGCTTTGGAATTGAATTCCCAAGAAAACAATTTTTACTACCACAACCGTAACAATTGCAAAAGCGCGTGAATAAAAGATTTGCTGAAATAATGAGATCGGATTACAACAATAAAAAAATTTTTACAATTCATGTTTGAAAACATTATAGGAATGAAATATAAATTTTACAACAATAACAGAATGCTACCAGTACTTTACGCATGAGAATCGGATTAAAAGAAATTGAATATGCAATTTGAACGCTTCTTTTTGACGGATTTGGCCCAAAGTTTTATACGGACCTACATTCATGACGATAAAGCTGTGTACCAAATTTTATCCATCTAGCTATTCAAGTTTTTGAGTTATAGCGTTCGCATGACCGCGGACATACAGATAGACAGACTTCCCGTTGACGGATTTTGTCCAAAATTTGATAGAAACCTACAAATTATGTGTAAAGACCACATACCAAATTTCATCCCCGTAGCTCTAATAATTTTCGAGTTATCGTTTCCAAAATTGTGTTTTTCGGACTCAGGAAGGTCTAAAACGTGGAGATTCGTCAAAATCTCGAGTTCGAATTTTCTGACGATTACAATACTTTCTCTTTGTATGCTTCGTATACGAGAAAGTAAAAATATCCTAAATAAAAGAAACATTTAATTCATCGCAACAATAATACAGAATACGCAATAATATGATAAATGGGCAATAAAAACATTTGTAGCACAATTTATTGTTCACTTTACGAGGAAAGGCAAGCTTACAAAAGGAGGACTGTTGGTCACCTTACTCTACAGCATTTTAAATGCTTTTTGCATGACGCATGTCGCTATTGGCAGACAGTATGCCAGCCTACCAACAGTTTCGTGTTAATATCGAATAGAAATCGTTCGATTCGCCCCGAAAGCGGGGGAATCAGTTGCGATGTTTGTTCAGATGCAGCCTGTAAGAAAGTGAACAAAACTCAGAAACTGTTACGAACTTCCCCACAAAAGTAAGGGAGGTCAGTCCGTTGAACCCTGTGAGGGCCTGGCCGGATGGGGGAGGACCCTCCTTCGACCTTTAACCTTTTCTTGCAAGTTGACTTCTTGCTGTTGGCGAGAAAGTCAGTTCTATCAGCGACGCTCCCACTGTGAGGTGTCACGCATTTTTTAGGACACGTGCTTGTGGAGCTGGGGAACTCATGTGCACTCGGTTGAATGCAGAAGAGAGGCACATTATATTAATAGGTATATTTAGGAGTGATTAATGTGCTGAGTGATTATCTGCGGTGTATGATTTATTGAATTAGTATGTGTACAACATGATCTCCATGTCCACAGGAAATAAAGATGTTGAAAATACTAGATGTCATCATTTGGAACGTAGATAAGTACTTTAGCAATTATTACATTTTTTAAGTCTAAATAAGTTAAGAATTATCCTGATTAGCTTGTGCGAAATAGAGACTTTTCCACAGAAACTGTGTTTGCTTCTCTCGCGTATTCGATCATTCGACGAATGAAAATGCACGGGGGTGTAGCTCAGTGGTAGATAGGGATGGCGGTTATTGCAAAAAAACTGGTTTTCGGTTAAACCGTTTTTTTTTTCAACCTCCGGTTTAACCTGGCGGTTAAAACCGCTCAAAATGACCGGCTTTGAAAAATACGGTTTTTGGGTTTTTTTAAAGCAACGTTCGTGGACAGAAATATTATCAATAATAATATACAATAATTAATTAATTTAATAAGTAATGATTATTAATAAGTAATTAATACAATTTGTAATAATAATACAAGAGTAATTATTGCAATAAGCAAGTGTTACAGACAAATATTTTATCAACATTGTTTTCACAAGAAATTAATTCATTGGCCATTATTTATCATCTAATCTGCTCATAAAGACTCTTTCAGCAATGTGTTGATCAGTGAGCCGACACCTCGCATCGGAAACAACATCATTCAACGTAGAAACAAATCTTTCGGAAGCCACAGAACTTCCGACTAAAGGTAAATATTTTTTGGCTACAAAAAACAGACGCCGTTTGCAGACAACATTTTTTATTAGTATTGCTTTTGCAGAAAATCAATCCATTTTGCAATATTTATCTGCTCATAAGGACTCTTTCAGTCATCCGCCAACCAACAGACGCCTCGAGGAAGCGGCTGTTGGTGATTGGCCTAAGATGATGAAATTCAAAGCTTTATAACTTTAGCATAGTCGAACCTAAAATTGAGCCTATCTTCCAACACGGTTTTGTTACCTGGTTATTGGATTTTTAAAAAATAACCGGTTTAAATCGGGGCAAAAAAATAACCGACAAAAACCGGTTAACCGAAACAAATAAACAGGTTGTCGGTTAAAATCCTATCCCTAAATCAGTTGTGATGTTTGCTCAGACGAAACCTGCAGGAAAGTAAACAAAACTCAGACTGTGTTTGCTTTTAACGTATATTCGATCATTCGACGAATGAAAATATACGGAGGTGTAGCTCAGTGGTAGAGCGTTCGCGTTGCATGTGAAAGGCCCAGGGTTCGCTCCCCCCGCATCTCCAGTGAACACTTTTTACTTTCTCGTATACGAAGTATAAAAGAGAAAGTATTGTAATCGTCAAAAAATTCGAACTCGAGATTTTGACGAATCTCCACGTTTTAGACCTTCCTGAGTCCGAAAAACACAATTTTGGAATTATGTCTGTCTGTCTGTGAATACGATAACTCGAAAACTATTAGAGCTACGGGGATGAAATTTGGTATGTGGTCTTTACACATAATTTGTAGGTTTCTATCAAATTTGGGACAATATCCGTCAACGGGAAGTCTGTCTGTCTATATGTCCGAAGTATATTATGTGATTATAATTAATCCTACAGGCATCGCGCCATTTTTAATCACCATTTAGATGCCGCACTTTCGAATAGGTCCGCATTCTTTTGCATCGATGCAAATTGCTCCTTCTGTGCAAAGTTATTATATCATTATTCATCTATCTCTATAAAATAATGTAACCCAGGAACTGTATACTCACCTTCGGACACCAAGAAGAAAAAGAAAGGAACCCACACCTACCTGAAAGGGTGTTACGTCCTTAGCGGGCGGTGGGGAATAATCTCTAATATTAATAAAGATGAATGTCGGTCGGCCTGTTGGCGGTGTACAGAACAGACCGTAAAACATAGATCTACCAAATTTGGCACAGATATACTTTCGATGCTGCAGATGTGCATCTCGGAGCCGCTTTTTAAAAATTTTGATTCAAATTTAAATTATATAAACATTAAACCAAATTTCGTCGTTTCTTGCCAATAACTTCTGAATGAATTGATGGACAAAAAATTTTTTTGTCATTTTAAAGAGCAAAAAATTATCTTTCCAATGATATCAGTTTTATTAGTGTACGAAATTTTGTGTAATTTTTATAAATTTTTAAAGTCGTCAGAATCTTGTAGTTATTTGGGTGCGAGAGTAGTAGGAGGGGCCAAGAGATGTTTATCAACGTCACATTCTCGCACGGAACATCAAAACAAACTTACTATCGGCGAATGCTTAGGCCTAAACCATAGGTTAAGAATGGTAAATTAGCTAAATAATAATTTGTTCTTTTCTGTTAGAATCATATTATTAGTAGTGTTTCTTAACAGTTTATAGATACTAAATTTTTAGTGTGTGTGTGTATGTTTGTTTAATAGTAGATTGTTGCTACATCCTTTGTATATGTCAGATGTATGCATGTTTTATACGTAGAGAGTAGTAATTATTGTAGCATGTAAATTTTGTTTTGCACTGAGAATGATAATTATTCAATCATATGTTGCATGTTTTCATAGTTGTCGTGCTATATGATTTGCTTAATTAATCTTAAGATACATACAATTTTAGCTTAGAATAAATATTTCAGATTGTTGGATATATTTCAAAACATAGTTGATTTTCATTTTAGACACGAGAATTATTGAACGTAAACCTGAAGTTTAGGGTGCATACTTGCTTCATTCCTTACTCAATGCATGTGATTTACTGCTGTCAGGCAGTATTAGCCAATATTTTAATGTTACACTGTAGCTATTGTAAGGTAATGTATGTTTTTGAAGTTTACTAAGCATGTTTTATTGCGCAGAGATAATTGTTAATCAAATGTATGGATGTTTTATAGGTGCTTAATTTTTTTCATGCATGTGTGCACAAATTTTTTTATACACAGAGAGTAGTAATTATTCTAGCAGTAATTGATAAAATGTAACGAAAATTTAATTAAATATTAATAGAAATTAAATTAAAAATTAATTAAAATTCTTTTGCATTATACAGAAAGGCGCATATGCAGCTGCTTCTGATAGAATACAAGAAACAAAATTAGAACTTCAAAAATTAAGTTAAAAAATATAAAAAAATTAAACATTAATAAAACATTATTAAAAATGACAACAATACACCTTTTATGCGCGCTAACGCAGCAGCATTAAGTGATTTCATCATCAGAATATTCCAAGAATTTTATAAACAGAAATAAACGTATTTACAAACAGAGATTATCAAATAATTAAAACACAAATAAGAAAATTAGAAAGAAAAATACAATTAGAATGAAAGCAAAGTGGAAGAAAATTGGAAAAGAACCGAAATGGCGATTCTTCCTCAGAGGCCACACGCCATTGTAGTTCTAAAACAGGACAAAATTTTCTGAATAAAGGAATGACCATTAGTCAAAAATTATTCCTTTATGTGGCCTGAATTTTGTCCAACATCTGAAAATAGGGTAAAAGGAAAAAAGAAAAAAACTTGACAGATACCTTTAAAACAGAAACAATAATGAGACAGAAACCAAAATCTAAAAAGTCACCCTCTTTCAAAACAGATGCTCTAGACAAAGAAAGCCAAATAACATCTAGAAGCAAGCCCCTAGCTCCATCTAATTATTCTAGCATGTACATTTTGTTCTGCACTGAGAATGATAATTATTCAATTATACGTTGCATGTTAATGTTATACTGTAGCTATTGAAAGGTAATGTATGTTTTTGAAATTTACTTTGCATGTTTTATTCCGCAGTAATAATTATTCATCAGATATATGCATGTTTTATACGTAATTAATTTTTTTTATGCATGCGTGTACAAACATTTTATACACATAGAGTAGTAATTATCCTAGCATGTATATATTTTTTTTCACCGAGAATGATATGGATTTTTTGATTTTTATTACTTAACAGATATGAAGTCACTTTGGGTCAGTTATTAATCCCTTAAATATAGTATTACTATTATTTTAAGAATGGCAGACCAGGTGGTCGTCGTAGGCGGCTAATAATAATAGAAAAAGGGACTTCCGTCAGCACGAAAGGGACGGGCAAGAAGAGCAGGGTGGATTTAGGAAACACAAAATATTAGCCCATATAAAATATCTTACACTACAATACACCAAACTATTGCATATACTACACCCAAAAACAAGGGTGGATTTTAAATATGTCAGTGTAATCCTAAGCAATTGCATTATTAAAAAATACCAATTTACAAAGTACACCCAGCCAAAACATAGAAAAAACAAAACACTGTGCGGCTGGGGGAAAATATAAAATACAATTTCCGGGGGTATTTATGTATAAATATTTATTTATTTATTTATTTATTTTCCATTTTAAAAGCACTTTAAAATTCACATACAGGACCCGGGGCATATGATGGAGGAGATATTGGTGTCCGTTTTTATTCCATTTTTTCGGCAGAAGGAACCAGTGTGGACTCGATTCCCATTTTCTTTAAAAATCTATCTAAGAAAATCTCCAGAAAAAAAAATAATAGATTAAATTTTTTCAGCTAAGAAATTCTATTAAAATATCCACAGGAAAAGTTTTTACAATTAAAAACCATTAAAAATGTTAAATAATCAAAGCGCACAAAATAATAAATAAATTTTTTTTTAAGGTATAAGCTTTTATCCATGCGAAAAAATGAACGCAAAAGTTGAAAATAATTTTTCTGATTGCAATAAAACGCATGGTTCGAATAAAAGCGAGGTCGCCTTATTATAGCACCTTATATTTTGTGTGTATTTCCTTAAACAAATGGAATATTCCTAGGGAGCCCACGCTTTTATTCGATCCATGCATTTTATTGTAATCAGAAAAATTATTTTCAACTTTTGCGTTCATTTTTTCGCATGAATAAAAGCTTATACCTAATTTTTTTTTATTATTATTTATTTTATTTTCTACTTTTTAGTGATGGCTGACACGAATACACACGACATGTTAGGCATAGTAAACCAAATTCAATTATGAATTCTCCAATATTAAACAGATATTAAAATTATTATATACATATGTACAATTATATTTTAAAAATGATTTAATGACATTAACTTTCTGAAATATAAATCAGTAATATATTAAGTGATAACTTACAATTATTATCAAAAATGTAATAGGAAAAAAAGAGAATCGATCTAAACAACTTTCCGTTTTTGCTTTGAGTGCGAAACGTTTGGCCCTCACGAAGGAAAAGAAATCTGGTTGTTGGCGAATTCTAATAGAAAGTAAACCCAAGACGCGTAGAAACACTAGCTATTACGTCATTCATCGGTGCAGCGCCGGAAGTATACCGTATTCTCTGTTAGTTTCGTGGCGTTGTTACAAATCCACGTAACGTGAGGTTACCACCTTCCAAACTTGATCGCCCAAATATAGGGCTAAAATTTTAATATAATTTTGTTAGATTTAAAATGGCTATAGATAGCAAATTTTTTTGCATAATATTGTATTGTCTCCGGAAACCCACCACTGTGCTAAATTTCAAAGCTGTAGCTCGATTGGAAGTGGGTAAGAAATCGATCTCAAGATTTCTCAAGTTGAATAAAAGCTTATAAAATGGCAATCAGCCGCACCACTAGATGGTATATACAAGCTCTTTTATGTAGCGTCACGTATGAAAATCGCAAGGGTTAAGATCTGGTGACCTTGGAGGCCACTTAAGACGAACAAGATCATGCTGGCCACCTCTTCTGGTCATACAGATACTGCTGTACCTAGTGGTGGGAGTGAGGTGGAGCACCGTCTCGCGTGAAGATAAAATCACCCGGATCTTGTTGAGTTTGTGGAAGCAACCAGAGTTGAAGCAGTTCCGCTTTCACTGGGATTATCCGAATGCATGAAATAAAACTTCACGCTTAAACCAAACTAGCGAAATTCGCTCCGATGGAGCGAATTTTCTCTCCTTTCCGTACTTGAAAGTTCATCGTCCTTTCGGAACGTTTTACAATCCTTCCGCGGAGCGAAATATTCGGAGCGAATTTCGCTCCTTTTTGTATTGAACGATTTCGCTCCTTTTCCATCAGTTTTTAATATTAAAAGGAGCATGTTAAAAGAAATGCTCCTTTTTGAGCAACATTTTAAGCAATGATTTCGCTCTTTGTTCATTAATTTTTAATGTGAAAGGGAGCGTTTATGAAAGAACGCTCTTTTTTGGAAATGTTTTCATTACTCATTTCGATCCTTTTTGATTGATTTGTAACTTCATTCCGAGCGTTTAAAAGAAAAACGCCCTTTTTCTGGAAA